GACTCTGTTTTTTGATTGGTGCATTCAGTCCATTTACATTTAGGGTGATTATCGATAAATATGTAGTTATTGCCATTGCAGGCTTTAGATTTGTGGTTACCAAAGGTTCAAGGGTGACTTCTTTACTATCTATCAGTCTAACTTAATTCACTTACTATGCTATTACAAACACAATCTAAAGGTCCTTTTTTTCCCCCTCCTTTTCCTTATCCCTCCATTCTTTATGTATTAGGTTCATATTCTGTACTCTTGTCTATCCCTTGACTTTGTGGGTAGCTGATTTAATTTTGCATTTGTTTAGTAATTAATTGGTCTACTTTCTTTACTGTGGTTTTATTTTCTCTGGTGACAGGTGTTTAGCCTTAGGAACACTTGCATCTATAGCAGTCCCTCCAAAATATACCATAGAGATGGTTTGTGGGGGGTAAATTCTCTCAGCTTTTGCTTATCTGGAAATTGTTTAATCCCTCCTTCAGATTTAAAGATAATGTTGCTGGGTAGAGTATTCTTGGTTTGAGGTCCTTCTGTTTCATTGCATTAAATGTATCATGCCATTCCCTTCTGACCTGTAATGTTTCTGTTGAGGAGTCTGTTGATACCCTTATGGGTTTTCCTTTGTATGCGATCTTTTCTCTCTCTCTGGCTGCAGTCAATACGCTGTCCTTAATCTGTTTTTTTTTTATATCATTCATCTACAATTACATGAAGAACATTATGTTTATACTAGGGTCCCCCCCTCACCAGGTCCCCCCCACAAACCCCATTTAGTCACTGTCCATCAGCATAGTAACATGTAGCATCACTACTTGTCTTCTCTGTGTTGCACAGCCCTCCCCATTCCCCCCCCCAACATTATACATGCTAATCGTAATACCCCTTTTCTTCTTCCCCACCCTTATCCCTCCCTTCCCTCCCATTCTCCCCAGTCCCTTTCCCTTTGGTAACTGTTATTCCATTCTTGGGTTCTGTGATTCTGCTGCTGTTTTGTTCATTCAGTTTTTCCTTTGTTCTTATACTCCACAGATGAGTGAAATCATTTGGTATTTCTCTTTCTCCGCTTGGCTTATTTCACTGAGCATAATACCCTCTAGCTCCATCCATGTTGTTGCAAATGGTAGGATTTGTTTTCTTCTTATGGCTGA